ACCTAGCATTTATTTGACAGCTCTTTATAGTTGGTGGCAATAAAGTGCCTCACTTAAGGCCTGGCAAAAATGCTGCTGTATGTTTACCTTAGGATATTGTGCATGTTCAGCACGCAACCATACACTCCTAACTCAGGATAATGCAGGTGAGGAATAGTTCAAGGGTCGGGCATTAGCCAGGAAAAGAAGAGTGGTTTATAGAGCTAGAGTGCAGATTTGTGTTGTCTTTAGGTTTACAGGTGAATGTGTCAGCTGTAAATATTGCTCTGAGAGTCACTTGGCAGTTGTGCGGTACAGTAGAGTGTGTTTGCAAATGTTTGCAAACGTGCTATGATGCACTCAACTTTTCTCTGAATTTTTCTTTTACTTCCTCTGTAATATGCCTCTTTTATACCCTCTGACTCTCTTCTCAAAGTAAAACCTCACTTGAGGGAATTCATATTCATGACTAATATATGACTGCTCTCTTATGTCTGCTTTCTGCCAGTTCCTGTCAGATAAGTCAATAACTAGTTATCCTCCATCATTTTCTGGGGAGGTCCTGCGGGATACATTCAAGGCAAAGGATCGCTTTACTGTATGCATAGGGAGTGAGAAAAATAGATCAGGAACACGAAAACAGCCAGTAATAGAGTGCCAGAGCGATGTGTACGCTGTGAGTCGAAAGCTGCAAGCAACAAGTGGCCCAGTTCAAATGTTGGAGAGTTGTGACTGGTACAGAAAAGGAGAAATTATGACAATGACGGATGTTTGAATTCACACGGACTCAAACTCTCATCACATGTTCCTTTGTTCCAATTAATGTTGTTGCCATTGAGGGCTTGTTTATTATTCTGAGTTAATATGCTTTCACATGGTATTGATTACAGTAAAAATTGCTTTGTAAATGAAACTCTAACATACAGCGGTCTTTCGTTTCCTCACTGCAGAACAGTTTTGCAGTAGCTCGTGAACATTGAAGTATACGCAGACCGAACCAACAATATGCTCCTTATACTCATTTGAGCTGATGTGAGCCGAATGGTTAGTCATCCTATTAAAGTCTGGTTTGCCAACTAATAAAATTTTATGTGGGGATTGGTATTTCCATTTTCAAGTGTTAATAAGATGGCAATTATCCTCTGTTTACACATTTGTTTTAGCTTCAGTTTCATAATACTCAACAGCTAATAACTCTGAAATAAACAAATGCAAGACTCATTTAGAGAGCAGATTCGTGATACGTGTGATTTTGGGTGAAATGCTTTGATGTATGAGGAGTACGTGTCAGTAAGAAGAATGAAAGGAAAAAATGTGAAATGCTTAAACTTTGAGGAAGACAACAAAACTCAGAGATAGTAGAAAGTAGCATTCTTTGATCGTTTCTCTTTTGTTCCCCACACCGCTGGATTTTTCAAAGACCACGCCCTCTCGCATTTTCCAGACAATGCAACACTCACTGTCTATTTTTTATCAAAAGATCTAAAGAACCTACATATGATGGTGTAAATTGTCAAAATTACCACCATAAATGTTCAGCCTTATCAAACATATTGTTTGACATGCCGAAGAACGCTACTTCTCATCATTAAGGCGGTGCTATGTACCACACAGCTTGCTGTTATGGAGAATGATTACAAAGTGACAATGATTTCTGTCAGCAGGGTATTTTATACAATTTTTCAGACTGCGGGAATACCACTCACTGTGTGCGCTTGTTTCAAAACTACTTTAATTGCAATTGCTTTTATTTTGTTGTTCTTTACAGATAAAAACGGAGTTTGACTGTGCTCTCAGAGGCAAAAGACTGTAGGAAGTTGGACACTTTTATTTCCTTTCTCATAAACGTACAAATATTTGTCCTGTAGAGCCAAAAGGGTCATCTGCTAATGGACCGGGCAGTTCTAGCTTCCCGTCCCTCAGCAGTTTTTACTGCACTTATAGTACAGTAACATCAAGTTGCTCTGCACTTATCTGCCTGCTCCGCCCTGCTGCACCACACACATGCACAAACACAGTGCAAAAGACACAAGCACACAGTTGTAGCACAACACATGAAAAGAAATTAGAGTAAAATTGACTTTTTGCAGACATTTTGACTTGTCACACTAGAGAAAACACAGGTGAATTACTGCTTTACCTGTCCCATCGCTTACTGAGACAGATAATGGAACTGAGTCACCTGTGCTTTTCCTACTGTGACAACTCCAAATGTCTGCTGTG